TGCAACCATTAAAATGATGGCTATAAAGACCATGATAGTAACATGGGAAAAAATTTATAACCCAATGTTATTGTGAAAAAAGAGGAAAAAGTATATGTCAAATGTACATGAGTTCATACTGATATAAATAATGAAATAAATGGGGAATAGGAGGCAAATCTTACTCACAGAAGAATTCCAAACAATATATTTAAATTCTGCCCTTCTGGGAGATGGAGCTTAGGGTGGGCTGGAATTAGTAATTCACTTAAAAAAAAGAGTGTGGGAATAGAAAAATAGCAACTTTACAATGGGGAAACCTGGCCAATAAACACTAAGTGATCAAGGTTAACATCACTAGGGGTGTCATGTGTATATCATTTACCTGATATGATGAGTTGGACATATCATCTCTGTGGTGTTCTTTCCCCAAACCCATAACACCAGTCTAACCATGACAAAACACAGGAAAAACCCAATTTGAGGAACTTTCTACAAAATACCTGACCAGTACTCCTCAAAACTCTCAAGGTCATGAAAAACAAGGAAAGTCAGAGTAACTCTCACAGACCAGAAGAGCCTATGACATATGCTGACTAAATGAAATGTGCTACACTGGGTTGGATCCTGGACCAGAAAAAAGGTACCAGAAGCAAAAACTGGTAAAATATGAATAAAGTCTAGAGTTTAATTCAAAATAATGTGCCAATGTTGGTTTCTTGGTTTTAAAAAAAGGAAAGACGGTAACATTAAGGAAAACTGCAATTGGGTAAAGGGTATGCAAAAATTTCAAACTACTTTTGCAACTTTTCAGTAAATCTAAAATTGGCTAACTGCCCTCCCCTGCTGGCCATCTTGTGGCGGCCATCTTGTGACCACATGGGGGCGGCCATCTTGTGTGAGGGCGTGATGGTCAGTTTCCATATCACCTCTTTATTACATAGGATTGAAATATCTGTAAAGTAGTTGTATTATTATTATTAAGTATATTTTAATTGACTTCAGAGAGGAAGGAAGAAGGAGATAGAAACATCAGTGATGAGAGAGAATCATCAATTGGCTACCTCCTGCATGCCCCCTACTGGGGATCAAGCCTGAAATCCAGGCATATGCCCTGACCAGTAATTGAACCATGACTTCCTGGTTCAGATCTACACTCAATCACTGAGCCACACCAGCTGGGCATATTATTTTTTTAATTATAATTTGAAGAGTTAATTTTGGTTTGGTTTGGTTTTAGGAAAAAAATTCTTTCTCTTGAAATGCAGAGAAAATGTAGGAAAGTATGTAGATATTAAAGGGCAATTAAGACAGCTATTGCTTTAAAATACCACCAAAACATTCTTCTGCACAAGATAAGTTGATGTCCCAGTGGCCCCTTAAACTATCCTCATTTTTTTTAAAATTCTTTTTTCTTTTTGCTTTTCTGATTGGGTGTTTTCTGCTTCCTTATCTTCCAAATCTCTGATTTGATCCGATCCTCTGCTTCATCTAATCTACTATTTATTCCCTCTAATGTATTCTTTACCTCAGTTTAAAGTTTTCACTATTGACTGGTTATTTTTTACGTTTTCTATCTCCTTTTTTATGTTTCCTGTGTATCTCTTTGTTGAAGTTATCACTAAGTTTATCTACTCCTCCCCTAAGTTTATTGAGTATCCTTATAACCAGTGTTTTGAACTTGGCATTTGATAGATTGCTTATCTCCATTTTGTTTAGTCCCTTTTTATTTTGTTTTCTATACATTTTTTAATTGATTGATTTGAGAGAGAGAGAGAGAGAGAGAGATCAATTTGTTGTTCCACTCACCCATGCACTCACCAGTTGATTCCTGTATGTGCCCTGATTAGGGATCAAACCCACAACCTTGGTGCATTGGGATGACATTTCAACCAACTGAGCTACCCAGCCAGGGTCTGTTTAGTTCTTTTCCTGGAGTTTTGTTCTGTTCTTTCATTTGGGACATGTTTCTTTGTCTCCTCATTTTGGCTGACTCCCTGTATTTGTTTCTATTAGGTAGAGCACTTATGTCTCCCAGTCTTGGTAGAATGGCCTTATGTAGTAGGCATCCTGTAGGGCAGTGAGTTTTGATTGCTCTTGGCATGTCAGTGGGAGGGATTTATCCCCAGGTCCATGGGCTGTGAGGACTGGCTGCGTCTATAGTAGAGAAGCTGCTGTGCAGAGTCTGATCCCATGGAGCAGGACTCACTTCAGTGGGACTCTGTTGCTGGTGAGTCTGCTGGTTTGTTGTTTGTGAAGGTGATTGGATGGTGGTCTGAAGCTTTCTATCAGCTGGCTCTGGGGCCTCCTGGGAGGTGCAGGCCAAGGTCAACAGCCACGTGTGCACTTGGGCTACCTAGCATGAGCTACAAAAACAATCTGCAGATGGCTGCTTCTTGTGCTGGACTTAGAGGTGCCTGAGAGAGATAAAGCTGCAAACCAACACTGATTGCCACTAATGCCAGCCTTGGGACCACTTAGCAAGAGGTACAGGTGTGCCCTTGGCTGTGACAGGGTCTCAGGTAATCATAAGGGTGGGATGATGGAGACTCAGATATCACATCTGCCTGCACCCACAAGGGAAGGGCTCAGTAAAGGAACAATGGCCTCCATCAGCACTTCCATCTGGAAGAAAGCTGCCCCTCCAGCTCTCACCCTAAAGCTAGACAATTCAGTTTCTTCCCATATGTTCCTGGCCTTTTGAGCTGCTGCCCAGCATTGGAGCTGAGAATGAGTGAGTCTAAGTAAGTCTGTGTGTGAGTCCTTTAAGAGGAACACCTGGATCTCATTCAGCCACAGTTCCCACTGGTTTTCACAGCCAGAAGTTATGGGACTTCTATACCTGGTACCGGAAATCTAGGCTGGGAAACTGGTATGGGCTGGGATTCCCTTGCTCTTATGGGGGCCCTCCACAGCTGAGATATTCATTCCTATTTATAACAACCAAAATTTCCATATTTTTATACCTGAATAATATTTCATTGTATGCATGTACCACATTTTGTTTATCTTTTCATACTTAGGTTATCCATTAGATATTTGGGATGCTTTCACCTTTTGGCTATTATAAATAATGCTGCTATGAACATTGCTGTACAAATATCTGTTCATTCCCTGCTTTCAATTATTTTGGTATATACCTAAATGTTGAATTGCTGGGTCACATGGCAATTTTGTTTTTAATTACTTGAGGAACCATCATATTGTTTTTGTAGCAACTGCACCATTTTACATTCCTATCATAGTGCAACATTATTCAGTAGTTAAAATAAATGCTGAGCCCTAGTCAGTTTTGCTCAGTGGATAGAGCATTGGCCTGTTGTCTAAAGGGTCTTGGGTTCTATTCCTGTCAAGGGCATATGCCAGGTTGTGGGCTCGATCTCCAGTAGGGGGCATGCAGGAGGCAGCTGATCAATGATTCTCTCTCATCATTGATGTTTTTATCTCTCTCTCCCTCTCCCTTCCTCTCTGAAATCAATAAAAATTATAAAGAAATAAAAATAAATAAGTGATGAGAATTACATGTATGGCATGGGAACTTCTAAACATGCCAGTTCCTTTTCTTGGAGCATTCTCTCATCCTATCCAGGGCTCCACCTGGATAAATCCCACTCATCTTCTTAGTTTTGCCCTCAGCAGGATACTTCTGAAAAGTCTTTTCAGTCCACCTGCTTTCATCCCCACCTCTCAGGCCCCTGGCAGGTCCCCATCCTCTGTCTCTCCCTCTCACAGTCATTGTCATATTGTATTATAATAAAAGGTTGATATGCAAATTGACCCTAATGGCGGAACAATCGGGAACGACTGGTCACTATGACGCACACTGACCACCAGGGGGCAGACGCTCAATGCAGGGCTGCCCCCTGATGGTCAGTGCGCTTCCACAAGAGGAGCGCCACTCAGCAGAAGCCAGCTCATGGCTAGCCAGCACAGCGGTGGTGGTGGGAGCCTCTCTCACCTCCGCGGCAGAACTAGGGATGTCTGACTAATGGCTTAGGCTTGCTCCCTACAGGCTCCGGGCTGCCAGAGGGATGTCTGACTGCCAGCTTAGGCCCAATCCCCTGAGGAGCAGGCCGAAGCCCTCAGTCAGACATCCCCTGAGGGGTCCTGAACTGCGAGAGGGTGCAGGTTCGGCTGAGAGACCGCCCCCCACCCCGCCCCACCCCCTGAGTTCACGAATTTTCATGCACCGGGCCTCTAGTTGTATTATAATTGCCTGTTATAGTATGTCTCTTTTACTACTAGACTGAAGCTCCTTGAAGGTAGAACTGTGTCTGTCTTGTTCATTATTGAATCATCAGAGTTGGGTTAGAATGGATGTTAAATAGTCTTGTTAAATCCATTGATGAGTTTTAGAGATGTGACCAAGTGATAGAAAGCATTTATAGTCCTGAGACCCCTGAATCTTCCTGTGTCCCCCAAAGCAAATATTCATAGGCTATGAGTTTCTGCACTCAGAGGTGCAGAATGATTATTTCCTATCTCTATCTCACAGTGCCTCAGAATCTCTGAGTGGGGAGGGACTTCTGTGGATCATAGTATCCAGCCTCCTGCAGAGTACAGTCTCCACCACAGCTTCTCTGAGAGTAGTTTTCCAGCCTGGCCTAAGTGCTTCCAAAGATGATCACTATATGGTTATGTTTTGCATGTTACAGAAACTCCAACTAAGAGTGACAAACAAGAAGCCCCCAGGTAGGCAATTGGTGACCCTGGCTTAGTAATTCAATGATGTCTTTGGGGCCCATGCTTTGATTATAGAATGGCTGCCACAGCTCCAGACATCATATTCCATTAAAGACAAGAAGAAAGGAAAGGGGGGCAGTGCCATCAAGCTCTCCTCTTCTGCCTGCCCCCCTTTTTAAAAATATATTTTTATTGATTTCAGAGAGAAAGGGAGAGGGAGAGAATATTAAGGATGAGAGAGAATCATTGATCGACTGCCTCCTGCACGCACCCCAGTGGGAGCAAGCCCGCAACCCAAGCATGTGCCCTGACCAGAATTAACTTGTGACCTCCTGGTTCATAGATCGATGCTCAACCAATGAGCCATGCCAGCAGGGCACCTCCACTGCATTTTGTTGAAAGAACGCTGGAGTGGGAGCAAGGAGATTGGAGCTCTCACCTCAGCTTTACAATGTTCGAGCTGTGCGAAAATGGGTGCCTCTTGTCTTACTTAGGCCTCAGTATCCTCATCTATAAAATGGGAGGGTCAGACTAGATCCTCTCCAAAGTCCTTGCCAGCAATAGCACTCTGATTTCTCTGATTCTGCTTCTCTCACAGGCCTGAAGACACCAAGAGATGGAAAAATAGGTGTGTTTTTTTTGTTTTGTTTTGCTTGTATTATCTCTGCTTGGGCAAACTATTCCAAGCAGCTGGGACACCTGTGCTACTGTCTTAGTGCCACAACCCCCCACCCTCTGCCCAGGTGTCAGCTGGCTCCTCCCCAGGGGTGCAGATGCCAAATGAGCATAGTGGAATGGGGTATTAAAAGCTTCAGCCTTGGTCCCTGAAACACTTGATTTCTACTTGATGCCTGCAGCCATGTGGCTTGTTCTCCTACTCCTGCTGTGGCTGAGTCCTGTGGCCCGAAACTGGGAGACAGGTGAGGAGCCAGGCTAGCTGGTCAAAGGGACCCAAGCTTCTAGTCTCTTTCTTTTATTTATTTTTTAAATATAATTTTTATTGATTAAGATATTACATATGTGTCCTTATCCCCACGTTACCCCATACCCCCACCCCTGCTCATGCCCTCACTCCCCTGTTGTCCGTGTCCATTGGTAGGCCTATATGCTTGCATATAAGTCCTTTGGTTGATCTTTCCCCCTTACCCCCACCCTCCCCTACCTTCTCTCCAAGGCCTGACAGTCCAATCAATGCCTCTCTGTCTCTGGATCAGTCCTTGTTATCAGTTTATGTTGTTCATTATATTCCACAAATGAGTGAGATCATGTGGTATTTATCTTTCTCTGACTGGCTTATTTCACTTAGCATAATGTTCTCCAGTTCCATCCATGCTGTGGTAAATGGTAAGAGTTCCTTTTTCTTCTTCCTCTTCTTAAAGAATACCTTTCAGCATTTCATATAATGCTGGTTTGGTGGTGATGAACTCCTTTAGCTTTTTCTTATCTGTGAAGCTCTTTATCTGACCTTCACTTCTGAATGATAGCTTTGCTGGATAAAGTAATCTTGGTTGTAGGTTCTTGCTGTTCATCACTTTGAATATTTCTTGCCACTCCCTTCTGGCCTGCATGGTTTCTGTTGAGAAATCAGCTGACAGTCATATGGGTACTCCCTTGTAGGTAACTGACTGTCTTTCTCTTGCTACTTTTAAGATTCTCTCTTTGTCTTTTGCTCTTGGCATTTTAATTATGATGTGTCTTGGTGTGGTCCTCTTTGGATTCCTTTTGTTTGGGGTTCTCTGCGCTTCCTGGACTTGTAAGTCTATTTCTTTCACCAGGTAGGAGAAGTTTTCTGTCATTATTTCTTCAAATAGGTTTTCAATATCTTGCCCTCTCTCTTCTTCTGGTACCCCTATAATTCTGATGTTGGTACGCTCGAAGCTGTCCCAGAGGCTCCTTACACTATCTTCATATTTTTGGATTCTTTTTTCTTTTTCAGTTGGGTGTTTTTTGTTTCTTTGTATTTCAAATCTTTGACTTGATTCTTGGGATCCTCTTGTCTGCTTTTGGATCTCTGTATACTATTCTTTATTTCAGTCAGTGTATGCTTAATTTCTAGTTGGTCTTTTTTCATATCCTCCAGGGTCTCACTAAATTTATTGGCGGTTTCCATAAAATTCTTGAAAAACCTTATAAACGTGGTCTTGAACTCTATATCCAGTCATTTGCTTTCCTCCATTTCTGTCATTTGTGACCTGTTTCTTTGTCTCTGCATTTTTTATGCTTCCCTGTGTTGGTAGAGTGGCTTTGTGTGCTAGGTGTCCTATAGGGCCCAGTGGCTCAGCCTCCCCAGTTACCTGAGATGGACACTCTTGGTGCACCCCTTTCTGGGCTTTGTGCACAGTCTTGTTGTAGTTATGCCTTGATTGTTGTAGGATCACTGGGAGGAATTGACCTTCAGGCCAATTGGCTGTGAGAATCAGCTGTGTCTGCAGTGGGAGAACCTCTGTGCTGGAGACACCCTTCTGGGGCAAGACTTGCTTCAGTGGGGCTTTGGTGTTCACTGAGTCTGCCCCCTGAGTGTGTCCCTTATGGATCTGCGGAGTTGTAATCTGGATGGTCCCACTCTGACCACTGGGTACACTGGCTCTTGGATCTAAGGAGGTGCTAATTTAGCCTCTGCTTGAGGTTACACAGCAGGAGCTACGAAGAGAACTGCAGATTCCCCTTCCTTTTTTGGAGTTTGGAGGTGCCCAGATGAGGCCCAGCTGTGAAGCAATGCAAGCTGCTGTGGGGCCTTGGGCCTTCTCTTGGAAGTTCTGGGTCTGTCTGGCCCAGCTGCAATTTTCAGGTTGCAAAGGGCCAGGGCATTCATATGCAAAAGCCTCTGCCACAGCCTGGGTGGGGCGGGGTCTCAGGGAATCAAAGGGCGGAGCAAGCAGCTATGGCGGATCCTCAGCCCTGCTCTAAGGGGCCCCGCGTCTCAGTGTCCTGGTAATTGCTGCAAGCACCTCTGAGGGAAAGCCACCCTCAAGTTCCGAGTTCTGCCTGCTGCCAGACAGTCCAGTTTCTCTCCGTATGAGTCCTGGGTCCCAAGAGACTTCCGGAACGGGAGTTCAGAGCAGTTGGAAGCTTGTGACTCCCTCCCGATTCAAAAAGACAGCCGCGTCCTCAGGTGCCAGCCCCTTTCCGCGCGTGCTCGAGCCTCCGTACCTCTGCACTTTACTTCCGCACCTCCTCTGAGTCTCTGTGTGCTTTTCTTTTTCCTTCTAGTTGTAGAGTTTCCACTCAGCCAGCCTTCCTGTAGTTCTGGATGATGTCCGTTTTGTCTTTTCGTTGTATTTTTGAAGTTGTTGTGGGAGGCAGCAATTTCCGGTGTTTACCTATGCCGCCATCTTGGTTTCTCCTCTCTTTCTTTCTTTTACTTGTTCATTTGTTCATTCATTCATTCATTCATTCATTCATTCATTTGTGTTCCTGGCATGATCTACCTCCTTGGAGTTAGTACTTACTAACTCAGTAATTAAGTAATCCATTTATTCAGACACTTACTAAGCACTTGCTAGTGTAATGTGACTTCTCTGTGTATCCATCTTTATATTTATAAGATGTCCTTTGGTGATTAACCTAGGAAGATCTGTTTTGGTTGGGGAGTCCAGAGGAGTGTCTGGAGAGGTTCCTGTGAGTAGAGGTAGCATGGGGCTCTAGAATGTGCACTATTGCGGAGGGAGGATGGGAAGGGGAGAAGGTGGTGTGACAACCCCAGATCCAGATTAACCAGACAACTGCCATGCACCAAACTGTTAGGTTTCTCAAACATCCCTGGAAATGCAATGGATGGATAAAGTTGTATTCACCAGCCCGGCCAGTGTTGCTCAGTGGTTGAGCATTGACCTATGAACCAGGAGGTCTTGGGTCAATTTCCAGTTAGGGCACATGCATGGGTTGTGGTCTTGATCCCCAGTGGGGGCATGCAGGAGGCAGCTGATCTATGATTCTCTCTCTCCATTGATGTTTCTCTCCCACCATTGATGTTTCTCTCCCTCTCCCTTCCTCTCTGAAATAATATATATATTTTAAAGTTGTATTTACCAGAACTTCTTTGGTGAGAAAGCTAGATGTCAATGGTAGGAATATATTGAGGGTGGAAGCCTTAAGGGACATGCTTAAGTAATAACAAACATGTTATTAAATTGCTTTGTGAAAAAGGACGTTTGGGTAAGGACAGGGCTTCAATTTTGCTGAGTAGGGCTTGCAAGTTTGGGGCTGGAGCAGGATTGTTGGGAACCATAGAGGTGAGGAGGAGGCTTCCCTGTGCCCTCCTTCTTCACTCTTCCCCAGCAGTGCTCACCCTCTTCAATATAAAATTGTAAAACATGTTTAAAGAGTGTTGCTCTGGAGAGGTGCAAATTATTAGCTTTGGGTTCTTCAACCAGCCCTGTTTGGGCCTGTTCCTGGCTCCACAACTTGTCCTTTTACGAGCCTCTTGATCTGAAGCCAATGGGATGGTCACAGAGGAGCCATTTGAGGTGTGGCTCCTGACCAGGAAGCTTTCTCTGATGGGGTCATTGCCCCTGCACCAGACCCTGTGGCTCTCTCCTCTTAACTGCGGCGCAGCACTTACCTTCCAGTACAATGACATTCTGGTTACTTGTAGTATGATGATGCTCTGTTCATTTGACTGAACTCCTGGAAGGGGGCGGGGGGCAGTGGGGAGACACAGCACAGTGGAATATATCTCCATGATCCACCATGGTACCTGGTTCAGAGTGTCACTCAATAGAACAAAATGAATGAATGAATGAATGAATGAATGATTGAGTGAAGGGTGCTTGGTCACTATGGAGGTAGACTTCCTTTCCCTTACTGTACTGTCATTTTTCTGATGGTACCAGTTAGGACTGTTAGAAATGGTAACTTTCTCCTGGCCCATGGACACAGTGGGAGCTCAATGTGAGCCCAAGAATTCAACTCAGATCTTTTATTTATTTATTTTTCTTTATTTTTTAAAATATGTTTTTATTAATTTCAGAGAGGAAGGGAAAGGGAGACAGAGAAAGAAACATCAATGATGAGAGAGATACATCGATAGGCTGCCTCATACACCCCTCCTATCGGGGATTAAGCCTGAAACCCTGGCATGTGACCTGACCGGGAATCAAACTGTGATCTCCTGATTCATGGGACAATACTTAACTATTGAGCCATATAAGCTAGGCTCAATTAAGATCTTCTAAATTAAATTAAGAAAAAAATTATTTGGCACTAGATATACAAAAATGCATTTTCTGCCCTGAAGTTTCTGGTATGGAAGACTGATACACACCTCCAGAAAGAAGGCTGTAACAATAATGGAGACAGGGACACTGGACACAAGACACTAGGGGGGTGGGGTAAGGACATGTGCCGGTGGGTAGGGGAGGCCGGGGGACGTCAATAGGGGGGGGGGGGGAAAGGAGACATAGGTACTACTATTTGTAATACTTTAAACAAGAAAATAAAATTTAAAAAAAGAAAAATATAAAAATGTATGAAGGCAAAAAAAAATGGAGACAAGGATTAATGCTATGTTAGAAGGTAAAATCAATAGGTTTTAACAGTAAGAAGAAAAGGTTAATCTCAGCTGGGAGTATGTAGGAGGGCCTCTCGGAATAAATCAAATTTATTAAAAAAAACTATTATGGAAAATTCCAAACACACACAAATGTAGACAAAATAGGGTAATGAACCAAATGTACCTATCGGCTAGCTTCAAAATTATCAACCCCAGTTCTTATCCACCATATTTTAAAACTATAATCACAACACTGTATCAGAGCTGAACTAATTATGATAATTACATACTATCATTTAATGTCTATCAGTGTGCATATTTTTCCAACTGTCAAAAAGGACTTTTTGCAGTTGGCTCATTTGAATCAGGATCCAAACAAGGTCTATACATTACATTTATAGTATGAGTGAGCGACAGAGCTGGGAGTAGAACCAGCCACCACACCACGCTCAGGTTCACATTAAAAACAAAACAAAACAAAACAAAAACACCTCTGGTTGCACTTGCCACCAATCTCTGCCATTCTCTAAGCACTTTGCAGACTTCTGCTTTTGAGTCTTTGTTCAAGCTGTTTCCACTGCTTGAAAGACACTTCCTCCCATGGGCACTGGTATATTTCCTAAGTATCTTTAAATCTATATCCATCCCCTCTTTCTCCTTTTTTTCATGCTGTTGAAGAACTCAGGCCAATTGTCCTGCAGAATATCCTACACTGGGGACTTGTCTGAATGAATCACTGTGGGTGTCCCTCTGTCCTCTGAATTTTCTGAAACCTGGTACTTAAGGTCCATTTCTTTTGGCAGGAATATTCCATAGGTGGGCTGTGCACTTCCTATTGCGTCCTGAAGGAGACACACAACATCTCGAAGGAAACACACAATGTTCAGTTGTCCTACGTTTATTGGTGTTAAATTTGATTAGTCAGATGCATCCGTTTATTGCTGATTAGATTAATTTTTTTCATTGGTGGTTGCCAAATGGTGGTTTTCTAATTCCATCATTCCTTCTGCATTTATTAGCTGGAGTTTTTCTATAAAGAAGACACTTCCCTTTAGTTTGTATGAAAAGATTGTATGAATATTTGATTCTTTATTTGTCATTTTTCAGAATAATAAGCTAGTTCCTTAGCAGCCCCAAGAAGGTTGAATTTAAACATAACCTTGAAAGATAAGAATGTGTTCTTCTAGTGCCTATGGGAGGAAGTGTCTTTCAAGCAGCGGAAACAGCTTGAACAAAGACTCAAAAGCAGAAGTCTGCAAAGTGCTTAGAGAATGGCAGAGATTGGTGGCAAGTGCAACCAGAGGGTTTTTTTGTTTGTTTGCTTTTAATGTCACTCACTCATGCATGACCTTGAGAAAATGGCTTTTCTATTTCTAGATCAATGGTTTCAAACTTTGCTGGCCCACAATCCACATTAATAAATATATTTTACACTGTGACCAAGTACATACATGTATATAAAAACAAGCAAAAAATTCATAAAGAACTCTAAGCAACTTATACTTATACTAGAGGCCTGGTGCACAAATTTGTTTATGGGTGGGGTCCCTCAGCCTAGCCAGTGATCAGGGCCGATTGGGGCCAGCCGGCTGTGGGGAGGGACTGTGGGAAGTTGGCCAGCCACGGGAGGTTGGCTTTGGGAGCACATTGAGCACCAGAGGGCAGCTCCTGTGTTGAGCATCTGCCCCCTGGTGGTCAGTGCACATCATAGTGACTGGTTGAATGGTCATTCAGTCGCTAGGGTATATATATAAAATATATAAATATATATAAAATATATATATGTAGATAGATAGATAAACAATGTATGTGGATATTTTCTACTCTGTTCTATTTTACTCCTATCCTATCCTATCCTATCCTATCCTATCCTATCCTATCCTATCCTATCCTAATGAATGCTGGTCATGACCACTGAATTGATCTCTGACTCACAAATGGACTACAATCCTTGTTTGGATTGGTCCCTGGGGCTCTTTTCCAGTTCCAATCCTCTTTGATCTGTCCCTGTTTTGGTGACAACCTGATGCTGGACCAGGCACTTGGGAAAAGTGATGATGTGAGAGAGGAAACTAATCATTTGCAGGAGGCTCCTAACTGAACATGAGGCAGAAGTCAGGCCAAACTCAGAGGCCTCCACTCCAGCCCGCCATCACCTTGAGAGGTCTGACCTTCTGGGCCACTGCTCCCCTTTCACCAGACACCCATGGTGCCTGTTTCCATAACAGGCTGGTTTGGCCACACCTAGTCCTCTCAGAGGCCTGCTCCCTGTTGATCATGTCAACTTTGGAAAGCCCTCAAGCTTATCCCTAAACAAAGCCCAGGTGCAAACCTACCAGGAGGCAACTGGGAAGGTCAAGTTAAAGTAGAGAAGAGCACTGAGAGTCCTGGGCATGAGAACACCCGGGGCCGATTCCCACCTGAGCCGCAGAATTACTAGGTCATCTGGACCATGCCCCCTACCTGCCAATGCCTTGCTTCCCCAATCTCTTAAAGAAGATAAACCCTCTCATTGTATAGTGGATGGCAGGAAAATCAATACTTCATTCTCGTTTATGACTTAATATTTCATTGTGTAGATATACCATATTTGTTTTATCCATTCATCAGTTGATGAATTTGTTTTGGCTGTTATGAATAATGCTGCTAAGAACATTCATGTGCAAGTTTTTATGTAAACAAATATTTTCAGTTCTCTTAGGTATATACCCAGAAATGGGATTATTGAACCATATGGTTAATTCTATGTTAAACATTCTGAGAAGCTGTCAAAATCTTTTTCAAAGTGTGTTAGCCGTTTTTCAATTCCATCAGCAATGTATGTAATTTCTCCATATTCTCACCAACACTTGTTATTTTTTATTTTATTTTAGCGATCTTAGTCGGTGTGAAGTGGTACTGAGAGTGGGGAAGGACATGTAATGAGAATAGAGCCATAGTTGTCTAATAATTATTCACCTCACTAACTGTAGATAAGAAGTTTTCTTACAGACCCTGGGAAACTGGAGGCCTGTAAAAGATAAGACACCTTGGAGCCCAGATGGGTCCATTACTCAGGAAAGAAATACATTTTGAGAACAGACCAAGGACAGGACACGCTTTGATTTGGTTGCTGCACCTGGACCCTGACCCCCTCTGGGAGTTTTTCTCAGAAATGCTGACCATGCTCCAGTCCCAGGAATGGGCTGAGCTGTTTGTAACATCATAGAAGATTAGCCACCTTGTTATCAGACTTTGAGCTTCTGAAGGTTGGACTGCAGACTCTACCCTCCCCTTTTCCTGTTACAATTGTAGCTCACAGCTGCATGTAGTTATCTTTTCCCTCCTGTGTATAGAATCAGCCAACTGACAAGGGGCGTCAGGGCAGATTTTGTGGATGACCTGCTGCTCTCCCACACTGCCAGCGTTCTGGAGTAAATGCTGATATGATTCAACCCTGTCTCCACTTAATTGGCTCAAGTGGTGACAGGCAGCCCAGACCCTTGGTTGTCCGGTTACATAATCTCATTGTGGCTTTGACTTGCATTTTCTTGTTGACTAATGATGTCTCATGAGCTTATTGGCCATTTGGATATCTTCTTTGGATATTTCCTTTGTCCATTTAAACATTGGGTTATTTGTCTTTTTTTGTTGAGTTGTGAGAGTTCTCTACATATTCTACATAAAATTCTCTTGTCACATATATGATTTGCAGATATTTTCTCCCATTCAATGGGTTGTCCTTTTACTTTCTTGATAGTATCCTTAGAGGCACAAAACTTTCAAATTTTGATCAAGTCTAGTTTATCTGTTTTTTTTTTTTTTCTCTCTCACTTGTGCTTTTGGTATCATATCTGAGAAACTCTGGCTTAATCCAAGGCCATGATGATTTACATCTATGTATTTGCCTAAGACGTTTATAGTTTTAACTCTTATGTTTAGATCTGTGATCCTTTTTGAGTTAATTTTTGCATAGTCTGTGATGTAAAGGTCCAAATTCATTCTTTTGCGTTTGGATATACAGTTTTCCAGCACCATTTGTTAAATATTTTGTTGTTGTTGCTGTTAATTCTTATCCAAAGAGTTGTTTTTTCTCATTGATTTTTAGAGAGAGTGGAAGGAAGTGGGAGACACAGAGAGAGAAACATGGATGTGAAAGAGACACATGGATTGGTTGCCTCCTGCACGTGTCCTGACCAGGGATCAAGCCTGCAACCAAGCTATGTGAGCTTGACTAGAATCAAACCTTAGACCCTTCAGTCTGCCAGTAGAAACTCTATCCACAGAGCAAATCCGCTAGGACTAAATATATCTATTTTTCAATGTCCCCTTTTCTGCAGGCAGCTGTTCCCAGCCCCAGCCCCTCTGCTGCCTTGGAATAGATAACCACTGCAAGAGTGGAAACTGCTACTGTGATGCATTCTGCCATAAGGCATCAGACTGCTGCCCAGACCACCACGCCCTCTGCAGCCCTGGTAACTCACCTGCAGGCACATTTCCACCACTTCTAGGGCTGAATGCTGTGATTGACAGAGACAAGCCCCTCGTATCTACTTCAGGCCAAGGTCAGCATGTCAACCCCTGACGTCCCTAACAATCCTGAGAGCCTTGCATTCTGTCCATGTTACGTCAAAAGTGCCTACACATTCCTCGCAGCTTTGTTTCCCTGCTGCTCCTTACCACCTGCTGCTCCCTCTCAGAGACACTTTTCCAGGTCCCACAGGGAGAGGTTAAGCTGTTGGTGGTGGGGGATCAGGGTGGCGAGTGGGGTGGTTGGGTTCTAACGGTCCCACCTTCTCTTGCAGTGTAGGTGCCTCTTGACTGTGCCATGTAGACTTTTGAAGGCGGACAGGAGTCTGCAGAGAGGTGCAGAGGATGTTGGGCAGTAGCAGGAGGGTGGAAGGCAGGGACAGGAGAGGTGCTTTCTCTCTGTGTTTCTCAGCTCCTCAGAATACCAAGATGGTGCTGCAGATGGTGTTGAGGATGGAGAACCCACCAAGCCCTAAGAGAAGCAATCTTAACCGAGTGCAGAGCATGGTGAGTCCCCAGAGGTTCTCCCCGAAAGGGTGGGGGCAATCTGCTCCTGCCTCCCTGGCTTCCAGGCCCCAGAGTCAGGGAGCAATTCACTGAAGGGGAAGAGAGGCCTGAGCTGAGGTGGAGTTGGTTGCAGTCATGGTTTTAGGGATACGGGCCAGGATGCTTGCTCCTGAAACCAGGCAGCAAGACAGATTTGGCTCATAGACCGTACTTTGCTGTTTTCTGCCCTAAATCATCCTCTGTTTTTACTTTTCTTCTGAGTCCTGGCTTCAGCTCTCTGCCCAGCACTGGAGGAGAGGCCTTGGCCCCCATCCTAGCACATGACGCCTCTGGGAAGAAAGGCAGCATAATCCAATGGAAAGAGCAGGGACTCAGAGCCAGATAGACCTGGGTTCAAATCCTGGCTCCACCACTTATCACCTGGTGACCTCCTGCAGCTCCGTCAGCCTTTCTGAGCTTCTCTTTCCTCATCTGTGCACTGGAGCTTGCCTTGTCGGGCTGTGTGGAAGGGCCTGGTTCTTGGGGGATGTGCAATAAGAGGTAGCTGTTAACTGGGGACCTGTGAAACTAGAGAGGGAACAGGCCTTCACTTACTGCTCACTGCTTACTATTCATGTAGGTCCAGCAGTTCCTCCAAACCAGCCTCCCAGGGATGCCCCTCTCCATCTCTGTGAAGGGGACCAGGAAGAGAGCCTGACACCTCTCCTGAAGCCCCCCCACCAGTCCATGGAGCAGAGCTCACCCTGCCCACCAGGACCTGCTGGGCCCAGTTGTGTTTGCCTCCCCGCTGCCATCCCGTGTGCTTCCAATGTGGCTCAACCAGAGGAAAATGGAAATCTGCTATGGTTGTAAACACACTTTAATGTGCATAGAATCAGCCATACAAAATATAAAACATCAATTTGACTCATGCTATTCATTGTTTTGTGATAGTTACAGTGAATCTAGTAAACTTTTTTTTTTTTTTTTAAGAAATTTAATGAACCGTGAAGCACCATTTTTCACCCAAAGTAGAGACTAACTGAGCCTGTACAGTAAGACACGGCAGTTTTCTGGCCCATCACGGCCTTTGTAATGCTGAACCCTCCCTCACCTGTGCACCTTGGGGTGTGTACTATTTTTTTTTAAATTCTTTATTGTTGAAAGTTTTGCATATGTTTCCTTTTCCCCCCATTGACTTCTCCCCACCTGCTCCTACCCACAAGCGCATGCCCCCATTCCCCTATTGTCTGTGTCCATTGGTCATACTCTTATGCATGGATACAAGTCCTTGGGTTGATCTCTTACTCCCCCCCCACCCCCCCACCCCAACTTCCCCTACCTTCCCTCTGAGGTTTGACGATCTGCTCAATGCCTCTCTGTCTCTGGATCTGTTTTTGTTCATCAGTTTATGTTGTTCATTATATTCCACAATGAGTGAGATCATGTGGTATTTTTCTTTCTCTGACTGGCTTATTTCACTTAGCATAATGCTCTCCAGTTCCATCCATGCTGTTGCAAATGGTAAGAGTTCCTTCTTTTTTACAGTAACGTATTCCATTGTGTAGATGTACCACTGTTTTTAATCCATTCATTTGCTGATGGGCACTTCAGCTGTTTCCAAATTTTAGCAATTGTAAATTGTGCTGCTATGAACATAGGAATGCATATATTCTTTCTAATTGGTGTTTCTGATTTCTTGGGATATATTCCTAGAAGTGGGATTACTGGGTCAAATGGGAGTTCCATTTTTAATTTTTTTTTGAGGGAACTCCATACTGTTCTCCACAGTGGCTGCACCAGTCTGCATTCCCACCAGCAGTGCATGAGGGTTCCTTTTCCTCCACATCCCCGCTAGCACTTGTCGTTTGCTGATTTGTTGATGATAGCCATCCTGACAGGTGTGAGATGGTTCCTCATTGTCATTTAATTTGCATCTCTCGGATGATTAGTGACTTTGAGCATGTTTTCATATGTCTCTTGGCCTTCCTTATGTCCTCTTTCGAAAAGTATCTATTTAGATCCTTTGCCCACTTTTTGATTGGATTATTTACCTTCTTTTTGTTAAGTTGTATGAGTTCCTTATACATTATGGAGATTAAACCCTTACCAGATGTAACATTGGCAAATACGTTCTCCCATGCAGTGGGCTCTCTTATTTTGTTGATGGTTTCTTTGCTGTGCAGAAGCTTTTTATTTTGATGTAGTCCCATTTGTTTATTTTCTCCTTAATTTCCATTGTTCTAGGAGATGTATCAGTAAAGATATTGCTATGACATATGTCTGATATATTGCTGCCTATGAATTCTTCTAAGATTTTTATTGTTTCCTATCTTAAGTTTAAGTCTTTTAACTATTTTGAGTTTATTTTTATGTATGCTGTAAGTTGGTGATCTAGTTGCATTTTTTTGGTATGTATCTGTCCAGTTTTCCCAACACCATTTATGGAAGAGGCTGTCTTGACTCCATTGTATGCTCTTGCCTCCTTTATCAAATATTAATTGAACATAATGGCTTGGGTTGATTTCTGAGTTCTCTGTTTTGTTCCATTGGTCTATATGTCTGTTCTTGTGGCAGTACCAGGCAGTTTGGAAAGAACAGTGGCTTTGTAATATAGTTTGATATAGTAAACATTTCTTTATAATCAAAAGTAAGAACCTAGCATCCTTTGGCTAAGTAATTTGTGCTTCTCTCTCTGATATTCCTTCTCAGGTACCATATTATTCCCTGTATGTCCTACAGTAGCATGGTCTGAGTCCTGTAGCTTCATGCCCACATCTTTTCTTCCCAGGGTGAGAGGAGAAGCAAGGAACCATCTCTGGTGAGCTGGAACCGGCATGGGGGGGTCTCCTCATGTAAAGATTTCAAAGCTCTAGGAGGAGGATGCCAGCAGGGGCAGGGGTCAGCCGTGCCCATCACCTTCCCTCTCAGACCTGCTCTTCCTTTTATTCTGTGAATAGATCCCTGCCCTCCAGCCTTCTGGACTCCAGACCGCAGGGCCACCTTTACTTCTCTCTGCCCCTGTCTGTCCTTTGCCAAGTCTTTCCACGTGTACTTCCCAACATGGTTCACATCAGCTCCCTTTACAGTTCCACTGCCCAAGTCCCAGCCACAGCCTCCTCACTGGTCCTCTTGCCCTGGACTCTCCTCTAACTGGTCTCTGCCCACATTGTACTGCCCAAAGCAAGCTTTGCTGTTGCCACTTCCCTATTCAAAAACCATCACTGGCTTCCTATGGTCTCTAGAATAAAGGCTAACCTCCCACTCATGGCAGGAAATGTCCTCCACCTCATGGCCCCAAGGCACACTGTGGCCTTATCTCCTGCTGGTGGTTCCTTCCACACTCTTATGTTCCAACTGAATGGAGTGGCCCATTACCCCTGCCCAAACCTCACTCTACACCTTTGCGAATCTGTTTTCGCTCAGTTTCTCTGAACCCAGGACCTGAATAATTTATTTAGGAACACAGTCCAATGAGCAGGGGTGAGGGAAAGGGCAGTGGAACAGGGAAGAAGGGAGACAAAATATCAAGATGCCTTATCCACTTGGCCCCTATTATGGCTGACTGGTGGCTTGATCCTGTGGGACCTCTGAGAAGCCTTATGAAGTGTCTGAGAACTGTCTATCCCAGGAAAGAAACGGGAAGCGTCTGTCCATCAGCTCCCATCCCCACAGTTTATGAGTTGCTCTATAGGGTGCCTGACTCAGTCCATTGTTGCTGCTGCGTGAGAGCTGAGCTGCTCCCAGAAGCATCCCCGGGGCAGAGAGCAAATGGCACGTGGCAGGACACCACCTGGCTGCTCCTCGGAAAGTGGCCTCGGCACAGTGGCTAGAGTAGGAAGGGGGGCAGAGAGGACTTGAGCTGAGGCACAAAAGGTACCCCCACCATTGGCTTCCAGAACACATGTTTCTTCCCTTCAGCTCTTCCAGCCACAGGTTTTTCCTCCTGCCCAGGGACAGAGGAGCCTGGGGGGGAGACAGCCCTGGGCTCTGCTTGGGTAAGCCTCACTCATATTGCCAGAGTCTGAGTTCTCCTTTCTTTGCTGGGAAGAGTTTTTTCAGGTGAGACTCAATGAGACATGGCCTCTCTGCTTGGGATGCATCATCCTATGGGCCTCATAGAAAGCCCCAGAATGCTGATTTGTGGGATCCCTATTCTCTCTTGACTTAATACTCTTCTCCTTCCAAATGCTCAGATATCATATCTCCTCTTCCTCCTGTCCCAGCTTGGTCATCCATCTACCCCAGCCTGGGTCCCTGTTTATCCCCCAGTTCTGAGATGTTCCAGTCCCCACATAGCTTCCTCTGTAGTGGAGTGTGCATGTGTGTGCACACCTGCATGCGAATTTTATTTCTACCTGGCCCATCCTTCTCCCTCCTGTGTCCTCCAAATACCTCCCCTGTGAAAGGCATTTCCCTGGCAGCAGCACACCACCTGGGAAAACAGAGGGCTCCCTGCAATGCAAGTTAAATCCAGTGAGAAACACACATCCCCAAGAATGTCTACGGTGAAAAGGACCAATGATGCCAATTGTTGAGACTGTGGAGCGTCTGGAACTCTCATACTTTGCTGGTGTGGTATAAGTGGGCACAATCAGTTTGTAAAACTGTTTGATGCTATATATTAAGGAGAACATGTGTCTACCCACAGGCCTAGCAATACTACTCCTGGATATATATGCTCAAGATGTGTACAAGAATGTTCATAGCAGCTTTATTTAGAATAGTGAAAAACTGGAAACAATCCAAATGTCCATCCAAAGGAAAATGCATAAATAAATAGTGGCATATTTATACAATGGAATGTTACCCAACAACAAAAGAATGAAGTCCTGTTACACACAACAACATGGGTGAGTCTTGCAGACATACTGTTAAGAGAAAGAAGCCAGACACAAAAGAGTATAAATGCATAATTCTATTTATATGAGTTCAAAAATAAGTAAACTAATCTACGGTGATATAGGTAAGAATGGTGTTTTTTTTATTGGGGGGGTGTAGATATTGACTGGAAGGGAACACAGAGAAGCCTGTTGAAACACTAAAAATGTCTTATTATTGTGATTTGAGTGGTGGATACATCCTAGGTCAGTGATGGCGAACCTATGACACACATGTCAGAGGTGACACACAAACTCATTTTTTTGGTTGATTTTTCTTTGCTAAATGGTATTTAAATATATAAAATAAATATCAAAAGTATAAATCTTTGTTTTACTATGGTTGCAAATATCAAAAAATTTCTTTTCTTTTTTAATTAAATCTTTATTGTTCAGATTATTACATTAGTTACTCTTTTTTCCCACCATAACTCCCCTCCACCCAGTTCCCACCTCTCCCTCCACCCTCACTCCCCACCCACTGTCCTCTTCCATAGGTGCACGATTATTGTCCAATCTCTTCCCGCATCCCCCACATCCCTTTCCCCCCACCAAGAATAGTCAGTCCATTCCCTTTCTATGTCCCTGATTCTATTATAATCACCAGTTCATTCTGTTCATCAGATTATTTATTCACTTGATTTTTAGATTCACTTGTTGATAGATGTGTATTTGTTGTTCATAATTTGTATCTTTACCTTTTTCTTCTTCTTCCTCTTCTTAAAGGATACCTTTTAGCATTTCATATAATACTGGTTTGGTGGTGATGAACTCCTTTAGCTTTTCCTTATCTGTGAAGCTCTTTATCTGACCTTCAATTCTGAATGATAGCTTTGCTCGATAAAGTAATCTAGGTTGTAAGTTCTTGCTGTTCATCACTTTGAATATTTCTTGCCACTCCCTTCTGGCCTGCATGGTTTCTGTTGAGAAATCAGCTGACAGTCGTATGGGTATTCCCTTGTAGGTAACTGAGTTTCTTTCTCTTGCTGCTCTTAAGAGTCTCTCTTTGTCTTTTGCTCTTGGTATTTTAATTATGATGTGTCTTGGTGTGGTCCTCTTTGGATTCCTTTTGTTTGGGGTTCTCTGCGCTTCCTGGACTTGTAAGTCTATTTCTTTCACCAGGTAGAGGAAGTTTTCTGTCATTATTTCTTCAAATAGGTTTTCAATATCTTCCTCTCTCTCTTCTTCTGCCACCCCTATAATTCGGATGTTGGTACGATCGAAGCTGTCCCAGAGGCTCCTTACACTATCTTCGTATTTTTGGATTCTTTTTTCATTTTGCTTTTCCGGTTGGGTGTTTTTTGCTTCTTCATATTTCAAATCTTTGACTTGATTCTTGCGCTCCTCTGGTCTGCTGTTGGGAGTCTGTATAATATTCTTTATTTCAGTCAGTGTATGCTTAATTTC